AGATATTAATTTTTGTAATCGAAATTTTAAGATTTTCTAAATAACTAAGAATTTTTTTGTTTTAAAAGTTTTTTCTTATTATTATAAGTTTATGCTTTACGTTCTTTATGAGTGTCAGGAATATATTTATATACAATTATTTTCGAGAAGTTTACTTTTTGTTTAAAATTCTATGTACTAAATAATATAATGTACAAGACAATATAATGTATAAGATATAAAATGTATTTAATACTGAATGTACTTAATAAATGTACTTCATTAAATAAATAAACTTGCTAATTAAATAAATAAACGGTTTATTTAATTGTTATTATTTCATAGTTATTTAATTGTTATTAGCTAAATTATTTCCTTAAAATTTGCTGCAAATATTGCGAAATGTTTTTACTGCATTAAATTGTCACAAATATTAAAGGTTGAGATTTTATGTTTTCAAATATTGAAATAATTATAAAATATTTATATACTAAATTGGATTTGTATAATTTTTGACAAATGTATTTGCTAAATTTTATTCTGACAAAACTGTTGCGTTATGGCGAATCATCTTAGTGCAATTAGTGAGAAATTTTTTGTCAAATCATGATGTCATTATTGTGCAAAGTTTCCACAATTTTCCTATCGGGGTACATAAAGACACACATTTTCATGAAGTCTTCAATTCGAAGTTCTAAACACATTTTTTTAAAGCGTTTAACAACGTGCTGAACGTGCTAAATCAGTGCTCGGAAACTCTATTCTTAAAAATAAATTAGCACATTAATTGAATCATTTATAGACATACATAATGTTTAAAGCATCATAAAAGTGAAACGGAAGTTAGCTCTTAGTTAAATGCGAAGAATCAGCTTTCCAAGCGGATATAGGCAGACGTAGCAAAATCGGCCGTAACTGATTAATTTTATTGATTTTAAATGCTGTAAACTGTATCGAACTATTGCACATGTTTTTTCACATTTCTAAAAGATATCCAATGATTAAAGGATCATAAAAGTAAAGCGAAAGTAAACCGTTAATTAAATGCAAAGAGCCGACGTTTCGAGCAGCAATATACCGACGAGGCAAATTCCATGTAGTTGATCAATTTTAACAATTATAAGTGTTGTAACGGATTGAAAGCTGTTCGTATATACTTTTTCACATTTCTAGAAAATATCTAATGATTAAAGGATGATAAACGTAAAGCAAAAGTTCTCAGTTAATTAACTACAAGCAGTCGACTTGCCGAGCGGCGACAGACCGACAATGCAAACTCCACTATAGTTTCGTCGATTAATTAACTTATTTTTTTAACTTTTGTTAACTTTTATAAGTTCTTAAACATCAACAGTTTTTTAGAAAATGTGAAATAACTATATAAATCAGTTTAGCATTTTTCCAAAATTTTAACACTATTAAAAATATCTGACAGTGAGATGTATAAAGAAAATTTTATTTTCTATTACAACACTTGATTCTTGATATTTAATTAGTAGTTTATTTTTGGTTAACTATTACAATTTTTTACAAGTGAACAATTATTATATTATTATTATTATGGCGCAATTATTTTAGTTTACTCTTTCAGCACATTGACACTATTAAAATTAGTTCAAATATACAAAAAGTATTGCAGGTTACGCATATCAGAAGGTGGAAATTCGAATCTTGATGAATATTTACTTATTGCTTTACATTTAATTAATTTTTATAATTTAATTGACATTAGTAAACTTCAAGAATATAAAATAAAACAATGGAAATCTTTTCAAAATTCTAAAAGCACTTTGATACTGTTAAAGCCGACCGAGATATAATTAAGAATCGTATAACCATCTTATCGAAGCTAGGAATCCGAGTTTTAATATTTATTTAACAAATTATTAACAATTGATATTTCTAATTTTGCAAAAAATATCTTCTAGAAACCTTAGAAAACCCATGTGAAAAGTTTAAGAATTTTATCAGCATTTTAACATTGTCAAAAATAGCCCGACAGCGAAAATAAACGTGTAGAAAGCATACAGTCACCCGTTGGAACGGGCCGAATCGGTCGATTTTAGCCGCTATTAGGAAAGCAAGTTATTAGGAACACATGATGATGCAGGAGCCAACTCGGAGTAGCGCCATCTTTTGGGAAACTGTTGCGATATGACGTCGATAGTAAGTGCGTCGATGGTAAGTGCATTGATGGTAAGTGCACGGATGGTAAGTGCCGACAGCTTGCTTCGACAGCTTCTTTGCTTTCCTGCAATCCTATTAGGTGTTAAACTTAGTTTCCGTCATTTTTCGTCTTACAAAATTCATTTATTAGAAAGAGAGTAAAATAAATACATTAATCAAAATATTTTCTCTTATTTTCTATGACTTTTGCCCATCTTTCTGGCAGGAGACTAATTCCGCGACGATAAAATAATAACAATTCGCTCAATTCCGACTATTTTGCGCATCAGTGAAGAAACTTTTCACCGGAATCTATCTTAAATCACTTCTATTGATATCTTAAGATCTAATATAATCTTGTTTGACCCTGTACACCGACAAAATGGCTGATGTTTAATTAAAAGCGGCAAAATTTTATAGAAGTAGAGAAAATATTTTGATTAATATTTTTTTTGTAGCTTTTAATAATTAATTTTCTCCGCTAATTAATGTTTCTTCACTTCTTGACGCATATTGAAAACAATAAAATACTCAAAAAATTATAAAACACCGCACATTTTTAGATAATCTTTAATGCTTATTATATAATGACAAAATTCAACAAAAAGTATATAATTCGTTAGATCGATTGTAAAATACATTTTATATATTTTAACATATTTTGTGGCAACATCAAAGCAATTCAATTGTTTAGTAAATATTTCTACATGTTATTTTTTTACGTTTCCAAAAGATACTAAATGTTTAAATACTTATTGAATGAAAAGTTGTGTTTTTGAGCTATAATAGATCGATTTTTCAATTCTTCCCGTGTATAATTATCGATTTTGATGATTTAAAGTGCTGAAAAACATTCGCACATCTTTTCCTATATTTCTCAAATATACTTAAGATTTATAAAATCATAAAAGTCAAATGGGAGACAGTTGTTCGTTAAACGCGAGAAGACGACATTGAAACAGCAATAAATTCACGATGCAAATTCCACCGTAGTTGATTAGTATAATCAATTTTACGCTGCAAAAGGAAACAAAAGCTCTTCAAACATGTTCTCTATGTTTTCAGAAGATATCTAACGTTTAAAAGATCGTAAAATTATAGCGGAAATTGGTCCTTAGTTAAATACAAAGAGTCGACATTTTGAGCGATGATAAATTGACAATACAAATTCTGCAATAATTGACCGATTTCATCGATTGTGCTGTACATAATTGAACACCATTTCACATGCTTTTTCATGTTTCTAAAAGATATCTAATGATTAAAGAATTATAAAAGTAAAAGCAAAAGTTTGCGAATTAATAAACTATAAACAGTCGATTTTCCGAGCAGTGATAAACTGACACAGCAAATTCAGCCATTAATCGATTTCATCGATTTTAAACGCTGTAATGGATCAAGAGCTGTTCGCATATGCGTTTTCACATTTTTAAAAGATATTTAATAATTAATGAACTATAAAAGTAAAGCAAAAGATTCGCGATTAATTAACTATAAACAGTCGGCTTTTTGAGCGGCGATAAACCGACATAGCAAATTCGGCCGTAGTTAATCGATTATAATGATTATAAATATTATAATGAATTGAGAGAATGTTCGCACATATTTTTTTACATTTCTAGAAGACATCTAATGATTAAAGGGTTATAAAAGTGAAACAAACAGCTCCTGATCCGTCATAGCATTTAAAATCGAAATGGATCAACCACAGTTGAATTCGCTATGTCGGTTTATCGCTGCACCGAAAACCCGACTGGTTGTAGTTGATTATCCCGAGTCGAAATTTTTAGCCTAGATTAAACCTACAAGTTTTGTCGAATTTGGAGAACCAATGTAAGCTTTAATTCATATATAGATATAACATTACATTGCCTATTGCCCTCCTTTGATACTAAAAATTGTTACTTATTGCCGTTTTTTCCATGTGGAAGCTCAAAAGAGTACCTACTGAGAACCTCTAAAAAGGCTCCAGGTTCTATAAATATGTATTTCTAGAAAATAAATATTCAA